CTTTCGGTGAAATCACGTAGGTAGAAAAATAATCATAGATCACGACGTTTCGATCGCCACACAAGCAACCGTCTTCAGGTGGGAGTGATAAACAATATTCCCGAAGGTTCCAGGCCACCTTACACCTTCTGATATCACTTTTCCTAATGCCAAACGGATCTATATATATATGGACTTGTTTCTGCAGCATGTTTCTCACTCCCACCTGAAGACAGTTGCTTGTGTGGCGATCGAAACGTCGTGATCTATCATTATTTTTCTACAGTGAGGGAAAAAAGTATTTGATCCCCTGTTGATTTTGTACGTTTGCCCACTGACAAAGAAATGATCAGTCTATAATTTTAATGGTAGGTTTATTTGAACAGTGAGAGACAGAATAAAAACAAAAAAAAATACAGAAAAAACGCATGTCAAAAATGTTATAAATTTATTTGCATTTTAATGAGGGAAATAAGTATTTGACCCCCTCTCAATCAGAAAGATTTCTGGCTCCCAGGTGTCTTTTATACAGGTAACGAGCTGAGATTAGGAGCACACTCTTAAAGGGAGTGCTCCTAATCTCAGATTGTTACCTGTATAAAAGACACCTGTTCACAGAAGCAATCAATCAATCAGATTCCAAACTCTCCACCATGGCCAAGACCAAAGAGCTCTCCAAGGATGTCAGGGACAAGATTGTAGATCTACACAAGGCTGGAATGGGCTACAAGACCATCGCCAAGCAGCTTGGTGAGAAGGTGGCAACAGTTGGTGCGATTATTCGCAAATGGAAGAAACACAGAAGAACTGTCAATCTCCCTGGGCCTGGGGCTCCATGCAAGATCTGACCTCGTGGAGTTGCATTTATCATGAGAACGGTGAGGAATCAGCCCAGAACTGCACGGGAGGATCTTGTCAATGATCTCAAGGCAGCTGGGACCATAGTCATCAAGAAAACAGTTGGTAACACACTACGCCGTGAAGGATTGAAATCCTGCAGCGCCCACAAGGTCCCCCTGCTCAAGAAAGCACATAAGCACATATACATGCCCGTCTGAAGTTTGCCAATGAACATCTGAATGATTCAGAGGACAACTGGGTGAAAGTGTTGTGGTCAGATGAGACCAAAATGGAGCTCTTTGGCATCAACTCAACTCGCCGTGTTTGGAGGAGGAATGCTGCCTATGACCCCAAGAACACCATCCCCACCGTCAAACATGGAGGTGGAAACATTATGCTTTGGGGGTGTTTTTCTGCTAAGGGGACAGGACAACTTCACCGCATCAAAGGGACGATGGACGGGGCCATATACCGTCAAATATTGGGTGAGAACCTCCTTCCCTCAGCCAGGACATTGAAAATGTGTCGTGGATGGGTATGCCAGCATGACAATGACCCAAAACACACGGCCAAGGCAACGAAGGAGTGGCTTAAGAAGAAGCACATTAAGGTCCTGGAGTGGCCTAGCCAGTCTCCAGACCTTAATCCCATAGAAAATCTGTGGAGGGAGCTGAAGGTTCGAGTTGCCAAACGTCAGCCTCGAAACCTTAATGACTTTGAGAAGATCTGCAAAGAGGAGTGGGACAAAATCCCTCCTGAGATGTGTGCAAACCTGGTGGCCAACTACAAGAAACGTCTGACCTCTGTGATTGCCAACAAGGGTTTTGCCGCCAAGTACTAAGTCATGTTTTGCAGAGGGGTCAAATACTTATTTCCCTCATTAAAATGCCAATCAATTTATAACATTTTTGATATGCGTTTTTCTGGATTTTGTTGTTGTTATTCTGTCTCTCACTGTTCAAATAAACCTACCATTAAAATTATAGACTGATCGTTTCTTTGTCAGTGGGCAAACGTACAAAATCAGCAGGGGATCAAATACTTTTTTCCCTCCCTGTACCTCCGTGACTTTACCGAAAGAACCAAAGAGTATGGATTCCTGCAGTCACAAAAGCTTCAAATCAAGATTGAACCGCCCCTACGGGGAGGGGTTTCACACAACTGTTAGATCTTTTAACAAACCGCGAGACAAGAAAGCTCACCTTATCGAGTCGCTCACCTCTCGACCTAGATAAACAAATACTCTTGACCCAGTCACGTGGAAACAAATCACGCATTTTGTAGGTTATTACAAGTGTAGTGGGTTCAACTGAGTTGCACACTTAAACTTCGAGGCGGCGTATTGATTAATAACACAACGGGGTAACTCTATCCCTTAACGAGACAACAACCTAGGGCGGTGACCACTCTGGCTAACTACACAGGTTGCAAGATAATTAACAACTTCGGACTAGGACAGCCAACATACTGCCTGGTCCGCGTGCCTGAAGATTGAAGACCGAAGATCGTAGACGAAGGGTTTCTTCCCCGGGATGGACAGCCACGATCCTTCCCGGGACTCGGCTGATGTTCCCTGCAGCGTGGCCAAGCCCCGCCCCCGGCCACGCCCCCTTTCCAGAAGCCTCCCGAGGAACCTCGGTCCCCATCACGTGACCCTCACACCCCCCTCTCGGGGCCCCCCCCTGTCATCCCGTCCGGTCACGTGTCCTCTCGGGTCACCCAGGCTGCCATGACCTTACCCGACCTTCCCTTCAGGCCGGCACACACACACACCTGTGCTCCTCTAGGGCCGGCACTACACTACAGAATGGTGACATCCGGCGATGTCACTACACAAGCATTAGCTTCAGTTGTTATACCGAAGAACGTGCCAGTCGCAATGAATAACGGACTCTTGTTATGCCATTGAGATGGAAAGAAAGATACGGACGTTTCCATGGACTGATTTCCTTCAGGACGTATTGAGTATCACAGTGAGAGGACGGGTGGAGCGGTGGCACAGCACATAACGCACAGAGCTGTGAACGCGCCCGATCTGACTGCGTCTCCGGGCGATAGCTAACAGCAACTGTGAGCGATATCTGAACCGGTCATGGGCTCCGTCCCATCACCAACCCGTGCTGACCGGCGTGGTGAATTATACGGGGAGGGTCAAACGACCCCCATGACCGACACGCATGTGGGAAGGCCTTCATCCAGCAGTGGATTGATAATGGTCTGTGCATGTTGAAGCACAATCCAAATTTCTTAAAATGCCCCGATCTCTGTCTACCCAGCAGTATAAGTAACTGACTATAGTGTACTGTAGATGTATGTCTCCTCTTATGAACGCCAATTGTAAAGGCAGATTAAGAGTGTTGTGTCTGTTATCGGTATGCCTTGGTTATTCCATATCTTTTCAGCTTCATAAATATCAGAAACGTAATGTATAATTGCGCGCGAGTTAGGAAAATGTTCTCAAGATTCCGGAAATAATACCGATTACGCATCGTCTTAAAAAAATTGCCAGTTTGACAAAGAGCATCAGCGCGCATGGATGCAAGAGGATTTTGGTTCGCTGTTTAAAAATGATGGTCGATCAGAGCAGGTCACGTGTGGTGGGACAAAGTGTGGGTGCTCGCAACTCTCCCAAGACGTCTGACCAGCGTGACAAAGAGTTGGCCGAACTACCCTCCAGAGTTCTAGAGTCTCGAGGGGTTCTCTAGAGCTCCCTCGAGCGAAGCCCCCGTTCGTCAGCAGTGGTGCGAGCAAGCAATTGCAGGGATGCACCTTTCATCGTCATCGTCGTCGTCGGCAGTCCCTCGGGGCTCGAGGATGACGTCCATCAAAATCGGAATATTTTATGTTTGATACTGGAGGTTTGGTGGTAAGGCTTTTGATGTGGCCGTGGAGTCAACTTCTGGACCGGCAGATCTCTGGGCGTTGGGATCCACGGTGGCCCGGGTTGGCTTCGTTTTCCTTTCTTTTGTTTGCTTTGCGGCGATCCACTTGGGTCGGCATCGAGACGTCGTGGGTCGTGGGAGTTGGCCGCGACCTCGTGTTACGGTGGCGTCACCCCTGGGCGGTCGGCAGCCTGCTCCTCCCAGTCTTAAATACTGTGACGAAGAGCTTCATAGCTCATCGGATTTGTCCAGGATAATAAAGATTCTGATTCTGACTGCATGTTTGACCTTTTACACAAACACTCCATGTATTTTAGTGAGCATCTTAAATATACCGGAGGTGATGAGTGTGGGGTCGGCTGTTTGCAAGCTTGAGTGGAGGTGTCATTCGTGTTATGAGAGCACAATGAGCACTTCGAGCATGTGAAGAGTTATGCAAGCGTTCAGGGAGTTAATGAGGTTAATAATGGAAGTATTCGAGCATGTGAAGAGTTAGGCAAGCGTTCATGGAGTTAATGAGGTTAATAATGGACGCATTTCCTCACTGGAGTGTAACGAGCCTTAAATATTTCGCATTAATACAAAAAAACAACGAAATCCCTCTTTAGCGATTCAATTAGGCAGTTACCCATTGTACAAAGTTCACTGAAGAGGCAACTACCTTTCTAATTGTAATAGTTTTACATTGCAGGGCTGTGAGAGATCTCACCCACCGCGAAAGTGTGGTTGGTGAGGTGTACATGGACTGTGTGGTGGGCTTTGGGATGGAAGCAGCTTGAGGCATGCACCTGCTCTTGGGCAGTGAACATAAGAAAACATACGTGAAGACGACAGACTTAGAGACCCACTGATTTACATAGAGATCTTTCTCCTGGGTATGATATTAAATTGCATTTGGTGATGGTGTCACCTAAAAAAGGAAAACTGTTGAGCAAAGCCAAGGAATTCTCCTCGACCATCCTTCCCTAGCCACGACTAAATATCTTTAGCGTTGAGTGCCCTGTTATACGCGATGGTGGGTCGAGTGAGTTTAAATGAGGTGGGATGGAACGACCTTGACCCATGGACTTGCCCTCGAGCACAGAACTAACTGACAAAAACAGGGCTAAAACGTAACCGGGTTCTATCCAGGTTGTTTACCCATGATATATTTCCGCACTCGGCACACCACATCCAGTACTTTGCACCTTCTCGCAGTGGTCTCCTCGTTAGTGACCTGCAAACTGAGAAATGCGTTCCTGGAACGAACGACCGAACTCACGATGAGCCTATTCCCACCGTGCCCTCCTGTGCTCCCAGCAGTGCCGTCCCGTGACGGCCCGCTCCGCCTGGCGTGAGGTGCCCTTCCTTCGGAGCGCATGGCCAGCGATGGGGGGGCCCCGCGCGCATCAGCTGCTGCTTCTCGCCACGCTGTGCTGCCTCGCCCAGGTAACGTCGCTACGTTTCGCCCGGGGGGTTGGTGAATCACGCAGAGATGGAGCGCGCGCACATGTACGATGCAATCCTGTAGTGTGACCGTGTTTAAAAGGGGGGGGGGTTAACCCCCCTGCCCCCCACTGCCTCTATCTACCTTGCAGTATAAATGGGTTCACTAGTTAGTCGCGTGCGGTGGGGTAGAGTTGTGGGTACTCGCAAAACATTTCCAAAGATGTCTGATCTGTGTGAAAGAATAGGCATAAATACCCACCGCAGTCTAAAAGGCTCTCTACAGCGCCCTTTAGCAAGCAATTGCAGGGCTGCACCTTTACCCGAATACAAAAATTCTGAATGCTGCTGCGGTGTAATCCTCATCAATTATTTCTCCCGGCACGGCAGTTTATTAACCACGTGCCTCTCTGTCCATCCAGCAGAATGAATGGGTACACCACACGATAGACGATCGGCAGGCCGCGCGTGATGGTAGGGCAAAGTGTGGGTACTCCCACACTTCTTCCAAGACGTCTGGCCAGCGTGGAAGAGTAGGCCAAATACTCTTCAGCGGGGCTATCTGGAGCTCCCTCTTGTGGAGGCCCTCCTGCCAGCAGTGGCTTGAGCAAGCAATTGCAGGGCTGCGCCTTTACAAATACTCCCCGGGGGAGGGTACACCACAGTCAATGTTAAGTAAAAGCTAAGGCAAAGGATGAGTAACGATGCGACCTGTCTCTGCCTCTCGTTCCCTACACTACTATTTTGTTTCGCAACCTGATGCGAATCAATGAGTCCTTACGCGCACACATGTCACCGAGTTGGATATCTGCACGTCAAATGTGACCATGTGACTCTTTCCTACTGATCGCCGATCATCGTCGCCCGAGCTAATTCCCTTCGAGATTTTAACGGAAGCTTATAGGCCTAATCACTTTGAATGTGCTCGATCTCATCATCTCCACGGCGTCTATGCTTAGGAAGTCATCGGAGCGATGAACTTTTAAATATAGGTTGAAATCGAATTTCTTTATAACTGCTTTTTTGTGTTTAGTTAGGCCTTCCCCCGCACCTCTAATTAGCACGTTTGGCTACGTACGGTGCGAAAGAATGTCAACGTACGTACATGCAAGGTAGGATTTGGGGGCAGTCCCTCTCATATGAAGGGAATCGAGTGCAGTACTTTACTGCAATATAAGTGCAGTATTCCATCGTGACCTTCAGTTGATTAATATAATCGTCCCAGCTCTACTGTTAACCGACCCACGGGTGAACGGATGGCTGGCCCCTTTGTCGTGGAAATGCGAGTCATGGAGAGCTAATGCAAAGGTAAAATGTACAGCCCTGCAATTGCTCACGGCATCTCGATAAAGAGAGCTAAACGGAGTGGACTGCGGTTTTTGTAAAAGAGAATCATCGAGCCAAACGGTTTAAGTGTGAGCAGCGTCACGCATCATGATTAACCGGCAAGGGCTTTTATTTGATAAAAAAAGCCCACGTAGCTCGCCTTGATTGGCATGGCTATTTGTTTTGGAGTTAGGCCGTGCTCCGTGGGGGGGAGAGGGGCAGGGAGGGTGCCAATGAATGATAACCGTGTGCCAACACTGCATAATTGCAGTGTGCAAGTGTAGTGACATGGAATTGGTCACTACGTAGCATAGCGCAGGTTGAGAAGGGGATCTACAGTTGCAGCAGCCCTGTCTGTCAGCAGGTCACGTGATAAACCAGAGAGAGGGATGTAGGGCAAAGGTGATAGAGGGGGCACGTGAGGTTAGCCCGGGAACCCACTAGTAGGTTCTAGAAGGGGGGCATGGCCGGGGCGGAGCGAGGCCACGCTGGGAGGATAAAAGGAGACCCCGAGTGAAGGCTCGGGGCTGTCACTTGGATTGGAATTCCGTCGGGCTGCTGGAGTCTTCGTCACCGTCAACGTCTTCACCATCTCAGCGTCGTCAGTCAGGCAGTCTGCCAGCTGTCCTGACTGAGAGTTGTAGTGATCCCTTGTGACTTGTGAAGGCTGTTAATAAATAGAGTGCCTCCTACTCTAAGTGTCTCTGAGTGCATCACTACACAGGTGTAGTGTAATAATTCACAGACACTAGTAGGAGGTACTCTATTTTATTCCGGTCTTCACAGCTATAGGGGATAACTACACACCGGGTCGGGATGGCCAACATTCTTCCAGACCTACAGCTTGAAGAGGGCGAAGATCACAATGACGATTGCACGACGAGTTCCACTCCAGATCGCAGCAGCTCTGTGAGTCGGAGCTCACTTATTATTCTCCCCAGCGTGGCCAGGCTCCCCCCTCGGCCCGCCCCTTTCTGTATCTCCCAGAAGGCTCTGTGCTTTGCCCACAGGTCCAACTGGTAGAACGGGTTGTTACCCCCAATCCCATTGTCTATCAATCTCCCAACGGCACTCGCTACAGTGACTCATTCAATGTCACTACACAGGTAAAATGAAGCCACAGATTGGCAGAGGAGTGAGAGTGGCTGCTTGCGTATTGGTATGGTCACTTGAGTGCGCAAAGTACTCCCGTCCACTCTACCTCGCTGGCCTCTCAATGCGTTGTAAAGAAGGGGCATTACCCAAATCATCGTCTATTGTATTATAGGCGATGTTTTTTTTTAAATTGATGGATGTGTTGAGTTTTAAAATATCCGGCGAATGAATGATTGACTTTTTATGGAGTGTGTGTGTCTGTTTTACTATCACATGTGCTAATGTGCTTGCCACATAGCAGGACATATAACGGGAGGAAAGAATGTCTTACAATACTTAGGTTTGGGAGAAGTACATGGGAAAGCGTTGTCTTGAATGGATTACTACTACTACACAACTGACAAAAACCAGGGCATATAATGTCAAATACCCTTTTGTCGAAGATTAGTACTGGATACAGCCTCATTTGCCAATGTGATTTTTAACTTTGATCCTCATCTGTGCATCGATCGTTCAATGTTAATGTGCCATTTTATTGAGGGGCTACTGTGTGCTGTGTTGGTGTGGCCTGGCACTATTTTTGTTGTTGTTTTTGATACCTTGCCCAAGCTTGCAGTTAGTGTTGAAAAATATCTGACTTTAATACGTACTTATATTTAGTGACTTGCTTAACTTTTTCTCTATTAGACACTCCCTATTGTATTTTTGTATTGTTCGTTGTTGTAACTCGCTGACCACCCCGACCCCTAATGCAGTAGAGCTGCAGAGCTCCGACAGGCTAAATACAGATCCTGACTCCGATTCGGCAGAGTCGCCGCAAACGAAGACGACAATCCCGGAAAAAAAACCACCAGATCAAGTGGCAACCCGATTGCGAAGTAAAATCCTGTAACGCGAAGCAGTCAGCAACTCAGAGTGCCAGCGATAGTCGCACTGGACAGACCTTACATGCTTATTAACGAAATCAATAAACGGACAATGTCTCCTTCACACCCGTCTATTCATGTACAAAAATTAAGTATTTCTCACACAAACCCATCAGCTGCCCTACGGCTGTCTGGGAGTGCAAACTTACCGTGTCTCATCAGCAGAGTCAGCTGACTTCAACAAACTTCTCATGGTTTTTATTTGTCTTGTTCAGTATGTGTCCCAACTGATATTTGACTTGAAAAATAACGTGAAACTGCATAGATGTTCAGTGGTTGTGCTGTGTGGCTCTCGATGTGTTTCTAGGTTGCTACCGCGTGCTGTACCGAATGATGTCTGACGTGTCGCCCTATGTGCTGGGAGATGTTTATTCTGTACTCTGCAGCTAGCAGTGCATCACCCTGTGTCAAGGGAGGGTCTTGCTACATTACTAAGCATGAAGTCTCTTCAATAGAGCGATGTATCCACACTAAGGACACACCTTTAATTCCTTGCAGAGTGTTGTGGTCATTATATTTAAGCCCTAGGAAAGCAATACGATAAATTCTGTGAAAAAAAATATTATTTAAGATGGATTCATTAGTGACTGAGTTACTATGACAAATTTGGTATGTCCGGCTTAATTACAGGCGGGTGAAACTCATATTCCAACCCGGGGTCTCAGTGGTTAGTGCACTGCGCTATGAACGCAATTGCTCACGTAAAAATCCCCAGCCAATGGTTCATGTCAGTGGCGAGTGATATGTGAACCAGTCATGGACCCTCACTGTCACCGAGCCCCTCTGACCAGCATGGTAAAGGAAGGACAAACAACTTTCATGACGGAAACAATTTTGGGAGGCCTTCCATCGACCAGTGTACAGAGAGTTCCCCAGATACGAATGTCCGACTTACGAACAACTGCACTTATGAACTAACCGCCATAAGATGTTATTAATCTTAATTTTGGAGCTTTCGTGACTGCAGGAATTATTCTTTGGTTTTTTCGGTTAAGTCACGTCTAAAGATAAAATAATAAATTAAATAATATGCTATTATCACGTCTAAAGATAAAATAATAAATTAAATAATATGCTATTATTTACTTTATTATTTTATCTTTAGGCGTGACTTAACCGAAAGAACCAACGAATAAGATGTTATTACTTTTAACCATCCAACTTGCGAGCGTTCCGTCGTACTTACGAACCAAACCGCAGAACTATTTTCTTCGGCGGAGCATTCCTCTGCGAGATGTGATGAGTCCCAGCATCCAGCGTGATGCACACTGGTAGTGTATCGTTAAGTGCTCTTTTGCGCAGGGGCGGTTTCTTCATTAGGGCGATTGGGCGACGCACCACCAATGTAATTCAACCACAGAGTCACGCTCGCCGTCACTGTCAGCCTCTGGATATAGTCCAATCAGCGTCATGTCACGTTCTGTGGAGTACCGCCTCTTTTTGGGCGATTTCACTCCGGCTGAGAATCTCCCCGAGTGGCCCCATAGACTTACATTCAAAGATGTTTTTTTTCGAACGGCGGGCGCTCCAATGCATTCTCTATGGCTTCCGGGAGGGCTCGCACTAACGTGCTTACGTCATCATACGTGCTAACGTCATCATACGTAAGCACGTTTCATCCAACAATATAATTTATCGCCACCTAGTGGAATCTTT